ACACACACACACACACACACACACACACACACACACATTCTTACAGAAGTTCACACATATACATACAATGCCTTGTCTTAGAACCATGTGGGCGTTGCTTTGCTGTGATGTGTTTTGTGTGAACTGTCTCTCAATAAAAGGCAGCGAGAGGAGGCCGTCGTCGGGGTCATTTTCGTGGTGGACACAGACGAGGACTCCCTAGCGCAAATGATCGATCGACTGTCTTGTTTTCTTCATGATGAATAAGTCTCTAGAATTAGCGGGGCTTGTGGAAACACAGACCCAACAATTTGTCTTAGATTGCAGCAAAATAAGTAAATTGCACTCCTGTAAAGGACCCAGTCATAATATTCTTAGTGAACAATTTACCTGCTAACTTAGATATTTCTGCCGTATTAGAGTTTAATGAAAAGAGCCCGAAAAGAGTCTGTGCCTCAACATTAAATTCCCACACCAATGACGTCAATGCACCATTAGAGTTGTTACCAGAAGCATCCACTTATCCACTTTTAACAAATTATGAAATGCGAACAATAACTGTCATCGAAACCTGAAGAGGATTTCAGTTTGACTTTTGTCATATGCAGCTTTCTAATGCAAAATAGATGCAAAAATAAACTTTAATCAAAGGCAATTGGAAGAATGCTAATTTGGATGCGACAATTTAAATATTTAAGTCTTAAAAACCCTCATAATGGCCTGTTGTCGCTGTGTAGCTCCTGATATTTAGCATATCAAACTGACGTAGATTTACTCAAACCACTAAGCCATGATACGCGCAGCTCTTTTAGTGCTGGAGATGAACTAGACAGCAAACGGTCGGTGTGTCGAGAACAACCAGCTCATTTACATACTTGGCTTGTAGCAGGTGCCTACTTGAATGGCTCTTTGTGTGTGTGTCAAACACACAGACAACAATTTTCACTGTGTCTCCCTGACAAAATAAACACAGTGACTTTGAAACTCATCTGGTGGAGCATGTGTGCCTGTTAGTCACAGACTGAAACAAAGGAAAAACATAGAAATATAATGTTGTCCCATCTACAGTAGAGTTAGGAAGAGAAATCTTGAAGTTTGAATTAAGACAATAAAATAGCAATGGTGATGTGCGCAGTTAAATTACCAAACAGATGTAATTGTAATTAGTTATTTAATAAAAAAAATGTGTCATTTGATTACAGGCACTAATCACAACATCGCCGAGGAAGAACCAAACACTGCAGTTCCTCAAATGACCACTTGATGCTTTCATTAAAATTGAGTAATTTAATAATATATATATTTTTTAAACTTTACATATGAAATAAATGTTTTACAAACTGGTGGAAGAAACAGTTTTAATCTTTGTATCTAATCTAATCTAATGTCTCTAGCACTACTATTTGTGCTATAGACATTTAAATGGTTTTGGAAAGTTAGGGAGACAAACTTTATGGGGATATTTGATGTATCACAGCAGCACAAAGCATTCACAAGATACTGCTGCTTGACCTGTTTTACCATGTGCACTTCACATTGCTGTAACTCCTCAGCCATTTTAGCCCAGAGGTAAATATCTAAATGGTTCGTGAAAGATGAGAATTATTTTGTAATTTTAATTAGTCAAAATTAGAAAATACACCCAGGCACCCTGTGTAATACTTGGGCGATAAAGGGTTAAAGCTTAGAGTTTTTTCACTTTACCTAATTTGCATCACTGAACTGACTCTCTCGAATGAGTTTATAGTGTTGGTTTGTTTCACAGTAAGATTAATGCAAATATGTGACAAATAAACTGAACTAATGTGTTCTTAACCATTATTAATTCTGTATTAATACCAGTATACATTTTTATGTGATATAACAATGTGATATTGCAGCATGCTTTTACGTTCGCTAGTGTGCACACCAGAAGGGCGACCACGGACATGTATAAGAGCAAGAAAAGCAGGACTTTAAGAAACTGGTTAAAAAGCTCGACCCAAGATAAAACATCCCAGGTGGAAAATATTTTTCTATTTTATCATGTCACGAGATACAGGGTTGACTTACTTAAGCTGTTAAACTGAAGCACAGTTTTCACCCCTTGTTCACAAATAAACTGGCCAAAACCGTCTTTTACTGCTCGAACCATCAAACGGCTGAACATGAGCAATACATAGGTTGCCCATTCGGGAGTGAAAATCTCTGTATATTGTAGGTAACATTTTGTCTTATGTTAATGCATACAAATGTCATATGAAGTGCAATCAAATTTCCCCACTGGGGCAAAGAAATGAATAAAAAAATCCATGCTATTCGATCCTTTATTTTAATATATTTGGGGAAAATAACACCGAGCTACTTATGAGTTACATTTGACCCATGGTGTACCGCTGTGTCACTACTCCTGCTTTATAACAACGCAACTGCGGCTGCTGGCATCTTGTTTCAATAGACTTGCACTTCAAATTAGGAAGCGTGTCATCAGTGACTGTAGCTCATTAGAAAAGAAGGATGGAAAATGCCCTTCGTTCACTTATACTTAGAAATGCCGCTGACTGCGAGCTGCAATCATTAATAAAACATTTTTCAGTATTTCCTTTCCTGTATTGCTCAAATATTATATCATTTTGAGGCTATGTTACCCACCCCCACTAACAGACCCTCAAGAAGTTTGTGCTCTAGTTTTGCTGTATGGTAGTCTAATATTTTTCAGTCTGTTGCTTAGTGCTAATGAGAAGGCGTCTGCCAGAAAGTCTGTGGATACAGCTTGCCAACCAAGCTTGCTGTCATTAGCCGATAACTTACACAGTTCGCACACAGTATAAAGATAAAATGCCCCTTGTGCGATTAAACACAGCAGGTATGAAAGGGTTGTTGTGTACTGCACATGAGACAAAGTGACTCTTTTATATATAGAGTCAATGAAACATGAAAGCAATTTTCATAACTCAAAGAAATATAAAATTGTTTTAGCAAATCTCCAAACACAGAAAAGACTCTTTATGTTTGCAGATTAGATGTGACAGATAGTTTTAGCCTAAAGGCTGCATAATTAAGATTTATGTAAAATGACTTAAGTTATAAACATGAAAACAGCATCTGAGCCCAGGATGAACAAAGCAATAGAAAAGGGTGTCAAACATAAGGCCCAATAGCCAGAATTCGCTTGGCAAAGACTCCAAGCTGGCCCACTGGACGCCTTTGGAAAATGTGAAGAACAGCCTCTGCATTAAGCCAACAGAACCTTTTCTTTAAATTTACACATGTATTTCTAACAGCTTTAGCCAAAAGAGTCATGCTGACAGAATTATTCAGTTACTGCAGCAGCATTTATTTAAATGCTGAAATTGCTCTTTCTTTTTCTTATGTAAAAATAACTCAGGGATTAAATGTGTAGTTAAGCCTAATTACACTGATAGAAAGAGGAGTTTTACTGGTCTGGCCCACATTGTAAAATAATTTGGACATTCGTGCATTAGAGGATAAATGAGACTCACCTGGTCCTCAAAGGACAGGGCCTGTCCGACGTCCCGAGGGAACCCATCTATGACGATACCGTTAGCATCCGGGATCTTCATAATCTTCTGCTTTATCTCAGTTATTGTCGTCTCCTGCAAATCATCAAAAGCAACATGATTCATAATTTTCATCACTTGGAGCAGGGAGCTCATTAGATTTTTAATCAATACAAACTGAGTAATTAGCCACTGCCTTGGTGTCCAAAAGCATATTTAACTACACTCACATCTGAGATGCCAAACAGTGGGGGCCGTTTTCTCAGTGAAGAGAAAGACATTGCAATTACAGAGTTATACACTTTACGGTTGTGATTATAATTCAGAGATAAAAAGATTAATTTTATCAATGGCTTTTGCAGTTTCTTGTGTAGCACTGTAAATCTGACAAATAATGAAGGGTATCTGATTTGGAGCCATAAATACGGTGAATGAAAAATCCACTATATCATTCATCTGTTCATCCAGCTGTTGTTTAATATTTCTGAATGCAGCTGAATGACTCTGTTGAGAGGTCCTGAGGTCAGAGCGTGCCAGCATCTTTTAGCATCACTTGCTTCCTCTTGGCTGGAGGAGGTCAACATGTTTGAACGTATTTCTCCAGGCAGAATGCACCACATGATACGACAGAGATACATGAGCAATGCTCAGAACTAAAAATAACATGAACAACACAGACATTTAATTTCCCTCTGACTGCAGAGTGTGAGCGGCAGCCTGACAGACTACGCAGAGATAAACCTAATCTAGATTCCATAAACCAGATTAATGTATGCTTGTAAGACTAACTCAGAGAATCTGATCTAAGAAAAGCCCTCTGAGCCGCTGCACGTCTCGCAGCAGAGCTCTCACAGGAACGCGAAGCATCAAACAATTCACCTGCAGCTGCACAGACTCCGTATGCAAAATTACTTCTGTTCAGCCATTTGTTATTTGCAATATACACGGCAGACTCTGAGTAGCTTTCTAAATAGTGCAGAATAGACTGAGATTTCAAATAAATGTTTCTCATTCCGTGCTCACTAACAGATCTGGTGTTGCATGATTAGAATTTCCACATCCATCAAATGTCATGCATTTTATTATAGTGTTTCCAACATGTCAATTACATGGTAAGAGACACCTCGTTTGTCTATTTTTGGTGGAACTAGTGCATGCATTCATCACAGTGCACCGTGTAGCTAATGGAGAGTGATTTCTAACTAGTTTAAAGTGGACCTATTATTCTCATTTCCAGCCCCATATTTTCATTCTTGGATGTGACTGGAGTAGCTGTGCATGTTTCACAGTTCAAATTAATCATCATTAATCTTGTACTGGCTTTTGGTGCAGCCACTTTGTGAAACAAACCATTTTAGCTCGTCTAACTTTAGGAGATTCTTTTACCACAATGCACTGCAGCACAGAAATAGCTCCTGAAACATTAAAGCTGGAAGAACATTATTGGGGAACAGGATAAAAGAAAAACAACTATAAAGTCCTCTATACAGATGGATGTCCATTGCATCTGTTGATGTACAACAGCAAAGTGAATTGATCATTATTACTGTGCATTTAAGGAATGATCCACTATAAACAATATTACAGATAATTCCTTCTTTGAAGAAAGAACTAAAGTAAACTAAAATACCCCTGAATTCTACTCAGTCTCTCTTAAAATGGTGACAATGTTTCATAGTCCAATGACATATGGCTCCAAGACAGTGAAGCGATACGGTGGTTCTTTCAGCAGTTTGGTAGAGAAATACTTTTAATGAACAACCTGTGATTTTGTGAACTCACCTGAATCTACCATTTTATACCAAAACACGAGCACTCAGAGAGCGCAACTCCCCCAGACGGCAAGGCCTACACTAAAACTTTCATGTTTTATGATGTTTTTATTGCAACATGCTGATGTCAGCATGCTGATGTCAGCATGTTGTTGCATCATTGTGACATCATTGGGTGTGGTATTGAAAAAATAAAAATTGCGTTGTACAGCCCTCTCCATGCCTATATTATTTATTGAATTTTTCTCTAGGTCAACTTTGACTTTGGTCATTAACAGTGGAGGTCAAGACTCTTGGCCACACCAAGGTCGAGGCTGGTTCTTAGAAGTGATCATACATTTGCGGTCGTGGCGCCTAAACTGTTTAATGATTTGCCTCTCCACATTAGACAGACTCCTACCCTCAAGCTTTTTAAATCCATCCATCCATCCATTCGCTTCCGCTTATCCTTTTCAGGGTCGCGGGGGGCGCTGGAGCCTATCCCAGCTGTCATAGGGCGAGAGGCAGGGTACACCCTGGTACACCCTGCCTCTCTGTCCCTGTGTGTCTTAAAACACATTTCTACTCACTGGCTTTTAATACTGCATGAGAGTTATTTAGTTATTTATTTGTTATTAGCTATTTGGCATTGATGTTAATTGATATTGCTATTTTATTGTGTGTTATTTTATTGTGTAATTTGTATGTTTGTACAGCACTTTGGTCAACGCCACTATTGTAATTAAAAGTGTTATATAAAAAATAAATAGAAATAAATAGAAATAGAAGTCTGTGTGTAATATAAAGTTTTTACTGTGTCTCACATTGGTTTGACCTTGACCTGATTTTCACCAAAATGAAATCAGCTCGACCTATTTCTGTTATCTACCATCACACAAAATTTGAAAATGATATCACGAAAACCGGATGCTAGACTGCTAAGAAGCAAAGAGCTACGCAGACAAACAAACTAATTACATACTCTTTACCTTTGGGGGAGAATTATCTATAAATGGTACATGCAGGAATCTTAATGTGGGTAAACCCAATCATTTCTGATTCCTGGACATCAAATACGGCCACTCTTTGGAAGCAGTAATACTGGAGGGTGCTCTTTTAACATGCAATAAAATCTGTATTTATAAGTTGGAAGAGTGACAACGGAGTTAGGAACAAGTTTCTCAGCCAAAAGGTCGTGCTATGTGCTCCATGTGTGCACTGAAAACTACTTCGTTTGGTTTTGCAAAAGGCTGTAATCTGATTTAAAATATAACCTTTAACCCTGCATGCTGAAAGATGACATTTAACAGAACAAATGTCCAGTGGGACAAGCTGGAAGTTTTCATTCACTGTTGGCCATCACAGCAACAATGCCAAAGGACATGTTGTGTCTGTGAGGCACAGATAGTATTTAGATCTCTGCTCAGTAAATCGACTAATAAAAGTGACTCGGAACTCGTACTCCTAGTAGACAAGTTATTTCTGATTTATTGAGATTAAAATGCCAGAAATCAGAATTAATAAGTACGTGCAAAAAGCAGAAGACCATTGACAGTTTTCATATTTACTTAACTTTTTTCAGACTGAGCGTTGACTGAACAATATTTGAGTGCTGCTTGAAGTGAGACCAATGAAATTTGCAATGGAGAGTAAAAAAAAAAAAGCCACAAATATTAAAGGACAGAGGTGAAAGCTGGAAATGATGAATACCCATGGAGTCATTTGACCTGGAAACAAATAACAACTGAACCTTTATAATAGTTTAGATTTTTAAGAAAAGATAGATGAGAGAGTTAACATACAATCAATATGGCCATGAGCGACAGGGTAATTTTGGACTTTTAATGATTTCTTTGCACTGTTCTTTTTCTCACTTGGAACGATAATACAGCCTCGATATACATCCTCCTGAGATCCAGCCTATTCATTTATGTCCTATTCATGGTGCTTCCCTGTGGACAGTGATGCTGGTATCAAAGGCAGTTTTCAGTTCATGGAAAGCTTGAGACTTGGATGGTTCCTGGGCTGTTCCCAAAAAGTGTTTCCTTTCACCTGAAGGGGTCAGTTTGGGTCATCTTCCAGATCTTGGCAAAGTGGTGACACATCTGAATAACTTGTACTTATGTACAATTGTTTGATGACCCGTTTAGAAATTGCTCCAAGAGATTTTGTAAATCTATAGTTCCCTTTGATCTTCAGCTCCTTGGACTTTCCCATTGTTCTGGGTATTGGTTAATCCAAAAAGTGCTGTCAAACTAATTATTATAATGAGTGTATGTAACCTTCTGACCACAGGCGCAAAAATATACTTTATGTATCCCAAAAGTTTGTCTGTGGTAAACATGGTTAATGTGAGTGTAAGTCTTCCAGCTTTATGTTTAACTCTCAGTCATGACAGCGGTATTCATCTTCTCATCTTTTCATGAAAGCAAATCCATGCACTCCCATGTCATATGACTTCTTCCATTTCTAAGGCTTTATACTCAACTCTCAAAGTAGACTCCATGACGTCTTGAATCTAAGACTCACTGACAAATGATCAAAATGACTCCAAACTCTTCTTTAAGCAACTATTATAATTTATAATTAATAAATCTTTTGAATTCATGTGGAATAAAATGGGAGAAAAAATGCACATGACCTCAGACACCGCTAAAGACCAGCTGTGAATCAGTAAGAAGTCCTTGAGTATGCACAAAAACAGTACTGTCATCTGGGCTCTTGTTTAAAGCTTCTGAATAACAGCCTTCTTACACACTCAGGAGCGTTTTTGCCTCCTTCATTATATGCAGAATCATTAAGAAACCAAATTCTAATCTGCTTTGCTAAACTAATTATGGTGGGAAATTAAATACCTAACAGCCGCAAGTCACTTTATCATATCTAATGTGTCTGCAGTTTGGCCCACGTTGCCGTTTATCTCACCGGTTGCTGGACTGACATGTAGTGAATGGCGACACGGCGAAGCGATGTCTTACCAGACGTGCGAGTAAGGGATGATAAATGATGAACTAGGCGATTCCTGAAGGTGATTCATGACACAACAGAACCTGAGAAGTACGTCATTAAGCAGGTGGGGGCTCGCGTCTGTGTTACAATTGTTCAGTGTGCTATATAACCAGTACATTACAGTTTATAGACCATTCGTCTGGGTGTTTTCATTGTGTACATCCGAAAAGTGGGAGTTTCATCATTTTATACAAAAGATGAACTCTTAATAGCTGCTTTTATATCGTTACAGAAAATATATTCATGTTTAACCAAAGCTTAATACACAGAAGCATTAGTGACATACTTATTTTTCCCAGAGGTTAATACAGGAAAACACGTGGCACAAACTCTGGTATCACTCCCCTAGCCTAAAAACCACAAGAGAGCGCGTGCATTTCCTCCAACATCTGAAAAAGTACTTTATCAAAGTGAGCTTCTGCATTTTGTGTTAAACAGTGAAACCCAAGCAGAGTATTTCCACACAAGTACCACAGTGTTTGTGCATCCTTGTTTTATTTGTTCTCTGTCTGTTCTATATATATAAATAGTTTTGCCACTAATCGGACCCTGATCCCATGTCATGTCTTAACAAGACAAGTTGCTTATATCACTAAAGGTAATTGATTTATGAGGAAACAAATGCATCTTGTTTAGACTAAGCCCTGTGCTCACCTACTCTCTGCTGACTCAGCTTTTTGGGATTATGGTGAGGTTTTTGGGCTTCCACTAGATCCAAAGGATAACCAAGGTAAACTTTCACACTGATCAATGAGTACAACTGTAGAAAACTAAACTAAAAATGTTGATAAAAGTGAAATCTTTGGCACAAAGTTTTACCTTCACCTGCAGATTCTGCAGATACACAAACAGGGGTAGAGAACGCGATCACTGGGACATTACCCAATAACTGTGAACTACAGGTTAAAGCCAAGAAATTGTCACTTCACCGTCTTGTTTATCTGGAGTCAAAAGTGCTCATATTTGGACAAGAAGGTGAAGCTGGTGAATGACACTTGAAAATTTAATGGATAAACATGCCTCACTTTAACACCTAAAGTCTACTTAATGATGTAATTGCTTCAAAAAGGCTCCTTTTCAACAGCTTTAGGCTCACAAAAAGGAGTGAATTTAGCTAAAGGCAACATAAACTCATTGGAAAATAAATATTAGTATGTATGGTACTACATTGTATATTTTTTATTCAAAATTCTCTACCGACATGCTGTGTGTAGATAACTTAGAATATTATCTGAGATTTCAGTTTCAGATAAAGAAGTGGCATTTCAAATCTGCGTACTGGCAGGAAATTAAACCTGAAGGACGGACACTCTTTGTTCTTTGTGGTTTTAGGTTCGCACATCTTCTTTGCATCACTGGGAGGATTTATTCTTCACAGCATATCTGCAGTGAAATGCTATCAACTCAAAGACCGTTCTAAAGCTTTTTCAGGATATTTAATAATAGCCCTGGACTCTCTTTAGGGAATTTTATTTACTAAGGTGTGATCCCATGTAAAACTTTACCCTGCTGTCTCTGCTGTTGATGACCAGTCTAATACTGATTGGTTAACTGAATTTTATTATTACGGGGTCTTTTTGGTCTTTAACTGTGACAATTCACAGAGAATAAGATGAAGAAGTCTCTTTATACAAATATGTAATGACACTTGTTGTCATGAGATACAGAATATAAAATGTATTTGGTGGTTGATGCAGCAGCAAAATGATGTGGCTTCTGACTCCTTTTGGAGTTAGAAGCCACATCATTTTTGTGCTTTTGAAATTATTTATTTACAATTTTGTGTTGCAGTAAAAAAAAATGAAACTGAATATCTGATGAAAACCCTGTTTCTGCTGATTCTTATAGTCCCTCCACTTTCTGCTCTACACTCCAGGGTGCTCCTCCTGCAGTAGTCTCTAGGCAGGGAGGGCCATTAGTGGGATTTGGGCACACCTGTGAAAGCCTCAGAACTGAGTTTAAATAGGTCTGGCCTCTCTTTCTCCCTCCATCCTAGAAACCATCTGTTTTACTGTCAACACCAATACTGCAAATGGCTTTTTCACACATCTGCACGTCTGTGACATCACTAACACTTCTCACTCCACCCTCCTCATGTTCATCATCATCATTATTTGCTCTTATCTTTTCTGCATAAACTTCTAATTATTATCACAACCTTGTCTTGTCAATGTGAATGAGACAGCTTCTGACCCATTAGTACCTTTCACCCTTTGATATATTTAGACACATAACTCAGACTGATTATCTGTATGGCGCAGTTACTGCTTTTTCCAATCAGCCTGTCAGCTGGAATAGGTTCAAGCTCTGGTGGGACTCTAAGGGAATTTTCACTCCTACAGTTTATTTACTGCGTTCAAAATCAGTTGATCGGTTTTGGCTAACAGACGGTGTTTAGCTCAAACTTGAAGCTCACACATGGTAGTTGAGCCGGATGTGGGTCGGATGACATTCTCACCATAAACAAACCAGTTTCTTCAAAGAAGTCTCGCTGTGGTTGAACTCGAGTGTAAATACCATGATCACATCTGCACAAACGGGGGAACTGAACCAGAGTTTGATTTAATCTGACAAAACGCAGCAGGTGTGCACCCTTATGCACCCTAAGCTGCATTAGTGGCTAAGAATAAGGATGTGTGGGTGGATGGAAGTTGACTGTTTCAGATCATATTGGATATGTTTGAATATTATGGCTGTTATAACAAACAGCCATAATATTCAAACGGTAACAGTTAGATGACCCATATTTGGTTAAAACACCTGTCTATTTATCATTTTGCAATGGTTTACTCTCTCCACTCTTCGTAGATCCATTTCCAAACCTTAACAACCACAACCCCTCAAAGCATAACCAATTCTTTGAACTGTCCCCTCAAAAGAGGTATTTTCAAGTTCAATCTGCAACAGCTCCACAACTGCAAAGCCAAAAATGGACAACCTTGGGCTCGATGATTAAGAGATACTTGAGAGAATTTTGAAATACAATAAATCTCTGTGTCCAAATCACTAGACCAGAGTAAGATTTGAAAAACGCCTACTAATCAAAACTACAGAGCATAAAAAACAGCCTTACAACAATGAGCCTCTGATGTTATTGAGCCAGTTTGTAAAATGTTCAGATGGAAATCTGATGCAACAGAAATGAACCACAACAAATGTTACATCTACTTTAATCCCAAATGAATGTGCCAAACAGGGCGGGGTGCCTTTCAATAACAGATACAACCTTGTTGTAGCACAGGGACAGAAAGGGTTCATGTTAAACACGTGTTGCACTGTATAGTGATTAAAAAAGTGGACCTCCAACAGCCAAAAGATGGTCTCTATAGATTTTCCTCCCAGGCACAATAATTATCCTGCAAAGATGGATGCTCCTAAGACGGACAGAAAAGCCTCTTTCCAACACGCTTGTGATATGGATGCTGCTAATTAGTCCCTTGTTACACGCATGCTGTGATAATGACCTGAGAGTGATTGGACAGGCTTGGCATTCATCCCTCTTCTCATATTCTTTCTGTGTCACCCCCTCCCTTCACCCGCTCTCCTTCTCTGTGTCTCTGCTACCTGTGGTGCCAGCTCTCCGTTGGTGATGATTTTAGCGATCAGGCTCCACTTTCTGTTGCTTGTGGCGTTGTGGATCATCTTCTTTCTCAGCAGCTCGCCCACAGACATGTACTGGAAGCCGTAGCGCTCGGCAATCTTCAGGCTCTGCGTTCCTTTGCCACTGCCAGGGCCACCTAGGCACAAAGGGAGAGCTGTTGATGTTTTGGGAAAATTTTTGTTGTGTGTGCGTGTGTGCGCGCGAGAAGGTGTGAAACATTATGCGTGTGGGCGTGCTAGCGTAGGCGCGTGTGTGTATGAGTGAGAGATACTCAGGGTTTGTGAGACTGTGTGTGTGCAGGAGTCTGCTTGTGTTTGCACGTAAGTGGGAGGGTGTTTGGGATTGAGCTATGTGTCTCTCCATGACTGTGTGTTATGGTATATGTGTGTGCAGGGGGAGAAGGGAGTGTGTGTGTGTCTGAAACAGGTATGTGTGAACCTCCTACATTTGATAACAAATAATCATTTTCACTGTTTTAACAGGATACGGACGTGCAGAGGAGGGATATGCTGTCTTAGAGCAACACGGATTTACACATAAAATAATCCCAGTTCAGTAAAACACACATTTTGAGTTAAAATGACCATAATGAAATCTAATCATTATCATTCATGTGTTTAATTGCTGCAAGACAAACATTATACACAATTTGTTAGGTTTCAGCCCATTAAAAGATTTCACTTGGATTTTACAGGCCTGACAACCTGAGTGCTGTTTGAGTGTTATCACAGAAATGGTGCATGCTCCAAAGTCTGAAAGCCATTCCAGAGTGAAGAAAGGTGAAGCCACTTTAAGAAATGATTTTAAAAAGATGAAGAGTGTGCAACCAAGTGAAGAAAATAAGTGAAAATTGGTGGTTAGATTTAAATTCTGAAAACGAGTTTCAGTGAAACAGCAAATCTCTTCTTCAACACTGACATCAGAGGCAGGCAGTATCTGGGTTCATCTTATAATTAGTTATCATAATTAGAATATTCTTGGGTGGTGTAGGGTTTATATCACAATGGACTACAGCAATCAAGGCCTCGGGATGCTTTAAACAAAAGGCTCCTGAGATTCAGCTAAGATGGAAGCTGTGACCAAAATATCCATGTGTACAGTATGTGTGCAATAAGCACAAAATCACAAATATATTTAGAGAAGAAGGTTATCCTCAATCCTATGACTATTTTGTCTCATCATGTAAAGGTCTGATGCAAAAGACGTCTGAAAAGTGAAGCAGATGAAATGGTATGCATAGGAAGCTACCTAACTTGTGACTGACGACCCTCTTCTGCATGCAGTGTCTTTGCATTCTCAGTCAGCTCCAGGGTTTGAAGTAGGATTCCTGTCCCACTGCTATTCTTGATGCACGCTAACATCGGCCATGAACACCACAGTCTACCTTGCATCGCTCGAACATAGTGGGTAAACTTTGCCACAGTATTGCATACTAACCTGCTCTATATTATACAAAACTGTATAGTTTTTTTTTTCAAATAATTTCAAAACAGCACATCAGGCATACAGAAGATCCAAATCTGATTTTATTTTAAGAATAGAACATCACCTGAGCTTTAAATTTCCAGTTTCTTAAGTCCTTATCAATGAAAATAATCTCATCAAATAATCTCTCTTCTGTCCTCTCGTTCTTACATCCTTCTCCATCTCTCAGAGTGAACTTATCCCACACCAACTTTCTTTCTCCCTGGGAAATATAGCCTCTGTACCTTTAACTTGCAGACAAAATACATGCGAAACTGCACAGAAGCAGTTTGTTTTGGAAGATATTTCTTGAGCTGCCTGAAACATTTGAAATTCCTTGCCAGTTGTAAACATCATCCCATTTGTGCTTGCTTATGTTTTGTAGTGCTAGCCAGAAACCCCCCCCCCCCTCCCCCGGAGCTATGCCAATGTTCTACAAACACAACTGTATTGGAATCTGCAGCATGAATGCATCAAAGCCATGAGAAGGGGAAGAATGATCTGCTAAAGGTGTAACTGGCTATGAGATTACCTTATTTCTTAGTACAAAGAAAAGTATCCCCACTGGCAGGAATCAGCAAGTGGCCCTCTTTACAATATGATCTATTAAATTGCCTATCAGACTCAATTACTCATTAAATGAATACAACAAACACACCACTCCAGATACGCTTGGTTTCAATCCCCAACAGTGATGCCATATTTTAAAAGAGAGGCAATACTATGTAAAAAGCCAGAAACATACTGAAATTTATAACTTTCCTTTGTGTATTTATAGTCATTTTGTTATAAATCTCCATCACTGTGAAATAGTGCATAAATGCACTAAATTAAGGAGGGAATTTCCATTTTCTTTCCTATTTCAGTGGTTGCATATCAAAAATGTTTGCAAATAAAGAGGATCAGACAAAGGCAGTGGAGAAAAGCTCTGGTGGTCTAAGTGCTGAAATCCTGAACAGAAGGAAAACTGCTTAACGAAAAGTAATGGAGGCTATCAAGTCTGTAAGCTCTGAGCAAAGGACCCCAGCAGAGGTAATAAAAGAAATGTTGAGACTAACGAGGGGCAACAGAAAGCACATCATACAAGAAAAGCAGGCCATTACTCACTGCAGCTATTTATGGATCCGACAATTAACAGAGCAATAGTAGGAGGCCAGATAAAATATAGTAATATAAATATATGTAATAATTAATATCAATATTAAGAAATTGAAGCTATGTGAAGCATAATTTCTCACCTCTTTTTTTCTTTTCTATGTCACCAAATCAGCTTGACTTTTATTGATTACCCCCAAATGTCTATACATTTAATCCAAAATTGCCATTCAGCATAAGGTTTAACATTAAGGAATAGCAGTGGAAGGATCCCAGTGTAGCAAATGTATGCCTCATCTTACATTTGATTATTCTGTTATCTTTGACCCAGTCTTTCCCACAGTCCTCTCAATGACACGCATCTGTCAATCTGTCTCTCTCGTGAACCTGACAGACAAAACATTTTCCCATGATCCTCTACAGAGATGACAGCTGATGTCATCCTGTTTATTTCCCCTTTAAAATAGGCCACAGTGTGCTCATGGAGAAGAGATCGGAACCAGCTTTGTGTAGCAAGTACAAAAAAACTATCGTCCACTCTACAGGGTGTGAAAATCCCAGAGCGAAACATACTACGGCGGAGGATCGTTAAAAGGTTCTTAACAGAGACTGGAGTGCTTTTTGTGCTTAATTAAAAAGCTCTAATAAACTATGTTAAAAAAAGAGTTCATAAATAACATTTTTTCAGTCTAGCTGAAACAGTCATTACTCTCACTGTGCAGCTGCCACACTTAATTTATAAGATTAATGAATGTATTTGACAGGTTAATGGAGGCACGTCAGGAAAATCAGATTAGGAGAGCGTGAGTGTCTAACATAGTGAGTGACATGACATAAGATCTACCCTGCTGACACTAGTGTAGAGAGGCGGCGTCATATTTAAATACCAGGAAAAACATGTTGCCAGTGTTTTTCCTGGTATTTAAATACCACGAAAAACTCTGGTAATTGTTTAAGCCCGATTCATAGTTTCCTGTCCAGGCCATTATTTTCTAGATCAGCAAGGCAAATAAAAGCCTCCACTCTGTAATTTTGCTGATCTTTTAGTACAAATGGATGCAGCTCTAGTCCCAGCAATGTTATCCTTTGTTAACACACAAACAGAAAGCATCTTACTTGCTGTTTATTATCTAGTGGAAAGCATGATTCACCAAAGAATCTGGATGAGTGCTTGAAATCCAATACATCAGATTAGGAAAATAATATAAAATAGACTGACCCTGATTTTGCCTCAAAGTTTCCTCATTCTTTTGTGAGTGGATGCTATTTATAGTTACAGTAACTGCGCTTTGCCTGTTTTGGGTATTTTTTTTTTGTCTGTTGTAATGGTTCTTTACCGATGACGAGGATGACTTTAGGTCGTGGTCTGGATGGATCGAACACCTCGTACTCCTCTATGAGCTCCGCCGTCTCCGACAGGTCAGAGTCGCTCTCGATGGAGAACTGGCTGATGGGAGGGAGGCGGTCATACCGTCTGTAGGGGAAATTGGGGCTGTCTGGCAACACTGTGACACACAGACAAACACATACACACATAGAAAGTGTTAAATAAGCAAAACAGGCCGGCTTTTATCTGTGTGTTGATGAACTTCTCAAACCATTCGTGTCTGCTGATTTACTCGGCTAAACAATGCTACAAGTCTGCGCTGTCTTTTTATATGTGCAGTTGTGACTTTATTTCAGACTCTCATTTCAGAAGAAAACCCCCAAATAAATCATGTCTGTTTCAACAAACAGTAAATTAGAGATGAAGCAGTTAGAGTGATGAATTTAAACACAGCTGCTACATTCGGTTTGGTAATTGTCCTGCTGTCTCTGGTGATGAAAGCATCAATTATACAGCTTCGACAACAATAACACAGTTAGCAAAGACAGAAATAACAAGTGCAAGTTTCTCCAACAGAAGCAGGAGCTGTTATAGTTTTCATGTGTTATCTGCTTACACAGGATAGTATTGGCCATACAGTTAGTAGCAAGGACAACACATGACAATGCATGCACTCGTTGCATCGGAAGAGACCAGAGGATGTTTTATGTAAACAGTTCAGCTTGTTAAAATTAAAACAGTTTAATTTAACTTAACATGCCACAACTTAAAACTTTCAACATATCAGTAAGGTAATCATGCCAAGATAAGAATAAATGAGTGTGGGCTTCCCTTGCAGCTATATTTATTTTTTCATTTTTGGAGGCTGTCAAATTTGAGCTTCAAAAATCAGCCAAAGGTAACAGAAATCAACAACCCTGATTTAGCCTACAGTTCCCAGGAGATAAACACTGCAGCAGGCAAAGTTTCCAGGTTCTTTTGCCACAATATTACAAGAAGAGGAAGTCAAATATAAAAAAATAAAATGTCGTCACGAAATGTTTTTGAACTAATGAACTGTAGATCTATACATCTGTGTTATCTGCATGGCATGGGTGAAATTTGTTTTGGTTTTCATGGGTCCCTGCTGTGTACATTCCTGCTGCGCTTCAAAGTAAAGGTGAATGGCTGAACTGGAAGAAGTCATTAGCTTACGACAGCTGTAACTGAACTCCACTTTGCTTTGCAAATTCAAACAGAGTTTTGCATATATGGGACTTCCTGCTGGGAATCAATAACTGATGAATGGAGAGACTTTTTTTTCATATTCCTGCTCAGACTAATATTTAGCTACGTGTATTACACAGGACAGTGTGTTGGTAGCACTGCTTTGATCTATGCACGCTGTCTTTGAAGAGGAAGCAGGAAGGTTTCCTTCCAAAAATTTTAGTCAGTTTTGTAGATGTGGTTTGGATGTATATGATCTTATCTATGTGTCTAAAATCTATGTGAAGTATGGCTATAGTTTGCACTAAAGTGCCGGAATAAAAAGCATCTTCCCTCATTGCGCTCTGAAAGTTTTTTCCTATCTCTCGTTCCAAGACAGTGGTAACAGTTTTAACAGTGTATATGTACAGTGAAGCTTCTGGGCTCAGCACAAACATCAAAACGCCTTTCTCATCAAGCAGGGAGCCAGATTGGTGTGAAATAAAGATGTGCACTGCTGTCGGCTTTCTTAGAAAGAAGGCAGGAGCCAAAAAGTAGAAATGCTGGCATCTTTTATTGTGCCAAGAAACTTTGCCAAAAATAGAATGGGATGAAACGCAGCGCCAATTAATCTGCCAAAGACTTTTAGTCAACTAAAGACATAAAATAGAGCATTCCCAGAGCCTGATCACGCAGTGGTTACAAACCTGTAGGTTAAATTTTCACCCAACGAAAGCAAGAGAAAAATGTATTTAAGTAAATCAAACGGCTGCATTTAAACAAATCAGCCAAGCAACTAATTGCTTAAGCTCTAATCTGTTTCATTGCCTCCTCACCATTTCTGAAGAGGGACCTGCGTGACTGGCCTCCATTGAGAGGAGGAAGTGACTTCTTCTCTTGGCCCACAAAAGTATCCCACCGCACCTTTTCTGGTCCTCCGAGCTCTCTGGCTTTCTTCAGACAGCCTTCCAAGTATTCAATGGGGTCATCGGGCCGGTAGTACATCAGACCTGTGAGCAGGCTCTGGAGGAAACAGTGGAGGAAGATATTATGATGTATACAGTTTCATACAATATTTAGAGAAGGGATGTTCACTGTGGCAGTGCTGCAGCTTTGTTACGATGTGCTGCTGTGGAACAGCGTGGCAGTGCTCGAACACACCACCTTAATGAGGGGAAGTTTCGAACTGCAGAGCATGGTTGCCTTAGCCCGGCTCCACCAGAGCAATAAAAATCTCATTTTGCCAGAAGTCCATGAAATTGGCCTCAGCCTGACAAATACACACATACCCCTGATGACCTTGGTGTTATTGTCGAGCAGCACTGACTGTGATGAATATGAAAGCGAACTCGACAGCCAAAACACAAGCGTATGTTTGTGTGACATTTGTCCTCTCGATCCTGTTTTCAAAACAATACCTTCCTCTGGGATTTCATCTCCACCCTCACTAACATCTCCCACCAGCAGCACGTTGTGAAGTTCCCTGAAAACAATTTGATGTGCTCATTTTCTGATAATGAATACACTGTTACGGGGCAGCAGTGTAAGGAATGAAAGGCAAAGGCAGTTATGATGATGATGACGATGATGTGCCACTTCAGTGCTCAATGTAATTTGAACTGACTGTAAATAAACAGGCACTGATTGCTTGCATACATTAGCTTGACTGCAGCAGGGGAATGAGTGTAATTAAGAGGATGAGCCAATTTAGCATCCCCTCAGGAGAAAGAATATATTTCATTATCATATTCCTGTGAGCTCTGATATGTGTCTCTGCTTAGGAATTAATCAACTTAATCGGACTTTGTATCTCTTTCACCAGCTATGACCATCTGTAACTTTCGTATTTACGTAATATCCCAGCAGACTTCAATAGCAGTTATATATATACGAGGGAGTTTGTAAAATTATGATTTCCCCTCTTATTTTAAGCTACTGTTTAATCCTGAAATACGCTTTCAGCCCACGTGATCCGCACCTCTATACCGTCAGATAACGTAAAGGAAGGATCTTTACCGTGACTCTGTCATGCATCTTGCAATGCATGGAACATGAATTAGTGTACTCTCCCTGAGCGCGAAACATACCCAGTTTGTCTCTTCAAAGCGTGCACCAGCTCTCACCTCAAATAGTTGAGGTATCTCCCGCCGCGCGAGATACTCCTTGGCATCGTTGGTATTCATCTCTAGACGGAAATCCTCTGAAATGACAACTTCTCCAAAGCGTTTGATTTTCTTTTCCTTTCTTCAGACGACTCGGTGCAGTAATCTTTGGTTAATAACTGAGCTCCGGACAGACTCTCGCTCAGCGCATTTTTGCCTCCTGTTTGTACTTTACAACTGAATTCCTGCAGGCAATTGCACCGCGCCACCCTCCTCGCTCGCTGATGCAGATGCGTGGCTTGTCCGTCTTCCCTTCTACAGCGGACTGCTTCCAGCACGCACCGACTGTTTGTGTGTGTGCGTGTATGTGCCTTGACGTTGGGTTGGCACAGAGGTTGCGCGCCGTGTGCCAAAAAGCGCACGCACCGCCTCTGCTCTACATTTTCAATCGTTCCTCCTCAGTCTTGAAAGTTGGTGTTGATTCATGATTAATTCGATCGTGGGTTATAAAATGATGGTATAAAGCGGATCAAATATGGTAGCGTCTACATGTAGCTGAAATATTCTACTTTTATTTTAAACTTTTGAAAAGAAAATATCTTATCAGATATGAGTCCATAAGAATATGAATTTTGAATATTTTTATTTTAAGTAACCATATTTTGTTACTAAAATAATTATGTTTCAATTCAGTGTTTGTAATGGAGTAGTTTTACTTTGGTAGCACTTTATTAAGCATTAGTAAGGTATAAGCAAGTGTTTAATGTTACTGTTAATGTTTACTGTTTACACCATCTACAGCTATAACTGCTACTACATCAGTGCTAGTAATAATCATAACCATAATCCTAGTCATAATAATATATATTTATAAATGGCAAACTAAGAAGGAGTAATGCTATATAAAAGATGAATTTACCACTTGCTAATGCCTTACTAATACCTTAACAATCCTTAATAGTGTGACATTATTATATTATTATATATATTATTATTACTTCTTCTGAAATGAGAGATATTTATTGACTCCAGAAAACTAAATGGATGGATCTATCCATTTTCCTTCCCTCATCCAATTAGGCTGCTGCAGTCTATTCCAGTGGGTGGGGTGGGGGGTGGTCTGATTTTCTTAATATTTCCATTACTTCCAGAGAATAAAACATGCAACATATCCCAATGCCCACTGAAATGTGTGTCAGTCTTTACTTCACATTTTTATTGCATTTGTAAATAGCTTTGTAAATAAATGACTTTAAAACTCCACATTCATACATACAAAGAAGCTCACTGGACTTTTGTAAAGACAACTTTGAAATTGTGGCATTATTGAATTGACTAACAGAGTGGAATAACCCGAACAACCTAACTCTAGGTGCAGCTAAATATAGCTGGATAATCTCTTAAATTGCTTAACAATGTATATTTTTGTTTGAGGTTGGGTTGAAAAGTTCAGCAAAAGGTGGATTCCAGTGGACAGTCAGTCCAGCTTTTTTAGGCAACTCAGGAAGGAAGGTCACTTTGATTTCCTGGTTTGTTCCATAGGATTTGATTCTTAATGCCTCTAATCCTCTTGACCACAACGAACTTGTTTGTTATATCACATAACATGAGATTAGTTCAGTCACATCAATGCTTTAGAAAGCAATTATCATTCTAACTTGTTACCATTTCATACCAGAATCAGTTACTGCAGCTTGAAAATAAAATGTTAATTTATGGACTGAAGTTGAGTATTGAGCAGATGTACGCTGCTGAGACCTGCTTTGTTAGAGCAGTTAACAAAGGACATTACCACGATGAGCTCCTAGCAGGCACACTACTCGAGGAAGCAGGTCAAAAAGTTGCAGAATCAGGAGACGTACCGAGGATTAAAGTGGCTGGCAGTCCTGCAAAGGCTCCCTGCAGTGTGTCAAAACTGATTTTGCTGCTGGTTTCCCAGAAAATCTTCTGTGTGCTGGGTTGTGAAGTTGCATTAGAATTGCATGGGAGATATGTAGCTCTATTTCACAATGGGCTCCTGGCCTCTTTGACTTCTTTAGCAGTAACACCACGAGACTTTTAATGTCTACTGCCTGTAATATACTTGTCACTTCTCATTACTGAGTCCCTGACCAATTAGCTAACAAGGGCAACTAAATATGAAGCTGTCAGCATCATTTGATGACTAGTTTGCTTTTCTTTCTCTCATCAGGGCACCAGTCATATCTGGCAGAATGATGATGATGTCAGGTGTACTGCAGCCTCTTGTACTTAAAATAAGCAGCCACACAAAGGTTTTTTTTTTCTTGTATTTTTCTTTGGAATTAAAAATTGATGTCAATGAAAACAAACCAGCAGACAAAAAAACAAACAAGGAAATAAAGAAACAGAGAACATGAGCTTAACGTATGGATGGCGACCCTCGAGGAGAAACTAACACAACTGCTGCAACTGATTAACTAATAAAGTTAAAAACATTTTAAATGTCTATAAATTTCTCCAATAAACCCCAGCTTTTTTTTATACAGAAACATTGTTTTTTTTTCTTCATTTACTTACATTAATTACTAGATCTAGAAAACGTTCATATCGTTAGCTTCATAGCATAAGTGCCTAAGTCATTTTTTTGTGTTTTGTGTTTCAGACGGACAGGATGATGCAGCAGTGGTAGGGGGGTAAAGTTAGGCAAAAATCTCAATTTGACCAAAAAATGACTTAGGCACTTATGCTATGAAGCTAACGATATGATGATGACGAATTCCGTCATTTGAAGGAGGAAACCTAACATTAACCCGTGCGTGCAAGCATGACCCTTCAGTGGTATGGGAACAGGATTAACTTGAATTAGGTTAGTTATTCTAAAATAATAAGAAAGCAAGAGATTTAAGTTTTTATTTATATTAATGTTTTATTTTTCTTTCTCATAAACGTACTATGTTTGTGCTCTTCTTGTTATATGTTGTAAGTATGTTTTACTGCTGTGTTACACGAGCCTAGATATATTAGATATACAATGGATATGCACTTAAGTTGATCAGAAACAAATGACAATTAAACCTGCAGTCTCGAGAGAAAACTCAATTTGTTTTAAAACTGCTAACCCCCACCCCATTTTCTCCGTCTCATCTTCCACGTCAAAACTTTTATTTTGGAAATGTCTTCCACCGGAAACACTTGCTGAGTGGATCCACCGGTTTTCACTTCCTACATGTCCACTGCTAACAGAGCTGCACAATGCAAATACTAACTTTATTAGGATTATTTTCAGCATGCTTTTTAGCAAACAGCATCAACATCGAGGTGAGTTTATTATTTTCACGTAGCTCCGATTTTCCCTTCGGTTTGTTGCATTTTTAGGTAGAAACATCGTTGTCATGTTAGCCAGCCCTGCTGTCATGCTAGCTTTGTTGATGCTGAATATACTTGCTTATATGACCCCAAATCCCGATAAAACATAAATAATTATTCACCTTCTTTCGGTTATTTCACAGAATAGCGCAGGGCAGTTCTTCAGCAGTGGGCATACGAACAATTGGGCCGTTCTGGTGAGTGTTTTTTTTTATTTTTCAGGTTGAGTAAATGCTAATAGATGATGTTAGGAACAACAGAAGACATATATGTGCATCTTCTTCATTTGCCTTTATTAACAGGTGTGCACATCCAGATTCTGGTTCAACTACCGACATGTGGCAAATACTCTATCTGTGTACAGAAGTGTGAAGAGGCTGGGCATCCCTGACAGGTAATAATGATAACAATGATAACAACTTGATTTGTATAGCACCTTTTAAAACACACAGTTGCAAAGTGTTTCACAATCGGGATAAAACCACACATTTAAGGTAAGAATATAAGTTCCAGCACACAGACAAACAAACAAGCATATGGTGTTGCTATGGTCAAATATAATGGGAGAAATATTAGGGAAAACCAACTACTGATTCAGCCCATTTCATAGGCTGATGAAAACTTGTGTGGCTTCTAATATAAGAGCATGCTTAAGAGACCCTGTTCAGACAGTTGGAAGGACTGGCAATGAAAGGCTTTATATGTTGTTAATAATAATTTTAAAAAGCATTCTGCATTTCACTGGAATCCAATGAAGGGAAATAAGAATAGGGCTTATATGTAGGTGCCTGCTAGTTTTTAGAGGCAACCTAGCAGTTGTGTTCTGGGCTAAGGAGGAAATGCACATGAAAAGTGAGTTATCAAGGCATGTGAAAATAAAAGTGTGTATTGAAAGTTCAAAATTACTGGATAACAGTAAATGTTTCACTCACCTATGGTCACCAGCTGTGGGTACAAGCAGCAGAAATAGGCTTCCCCTGAATTGTGGCTAGCCTCTCCCTTAGAGATAGGGTGAGAGGTTCAGTCATCCGGGAAGGGCTCAGAGTAGAGCCGCTGCTCCTCCATATTGAAAGGAGCCAGTTGAGGTGGTTCGGCATCTGATAAGGATACCTCCTGGGTGAGGTGTTCGGGGCATGTCCCACCGTGAGGAAGCTCTGGGGCAGACCCAGGACACGCTGGAGAGATTATATCCCTCGGCTGGCCTGGGAACGCCCTGGTGTTCCCCAGGGCAAGCTGGAGAAGGTGGCTGGGGAGAGGGAGCTCTGGGCCTCTCTGCTTAGGCTGCTGCCCCTGCTTCTCAACCCCGGATAAGCGGAAGATGATGGATGGATGGATGGATCCTAGTTAAAAAAAAAGAGAAAAAACAAAACAAGACTGGATGAGCTTTGAGGTGTGATATGCAAATTTTAAATGCTCAAAATATTATCAGGGTTCTTAGCAGATGATCTGTATTTATGACAAGAGAGTAATATTAGTAGTATTATGATGTAATAACTGACCTCTAGGGGTGGCTGTAGCTCAGGTGGCAGAGCAGGTCAGCCACTAATCAGAAGGTCGGTGGTTCGATCCCAGGCTGCCTCCTGGCTGCATGCCAAATATCCTTGGGCAAGATACTAACCCCATGTGGTGGTCAGAGGGCCCGGTGGCGCCAGTGTCCGGCAGCCTCGCCTCTGTCAGTGCGCCCCAGGGCAGCTGTGGCTACAATGTAGCTTGCCATCGCCAGTGTGTGAATGTGTGTGTGAATGGGTGAATGACTGAATGTAGTGTGAAGCGCTTTGGGGTCCTTAGGGACTAGAAAAGCACTATACAAATGCAGGCCATTTACCATCTCTATACAGAAGTTTTTAGGGCGAACACGAGAATTTAAATTTTGCCAGGACTGAGATGAGGTATTTGAGGTCGAAAAGGCTATTGAGGTTGTTAAGCTTAGCCAAAAAGGACCATTGTGTATTATAAGCATAGAAATAGAAATTAGTTATCCTGGTCACTGTAGTATTAAAACGATTAATCAGGTTGTTGAGTCACACAATCATGTAAGGTGTAAAAATAAATTTCACTTATAATAGCAAAGACATTTAAAATTTGAGGAATTGAAACATATTTTGGTTCTATATGGTAGTTAATGAAATAGTTTTGGATTTTAGACATTCTGAAGAGGTCAAGTTGATCAGTAGGTAAATTTATAATGGGGACCTTTCAATATTTTCATGCATGATGAAGAGAAACCAGTTTATTAGACATTATATTTTCCAGAGTAATCAGTGCTGAAAATATGTGACAGTTGCAGTCATTTGGAGATATTTTAAAGACTCAATAACATAAATAGTCTTTCGGCATAATAATTATTATTGCTGGATTTAACAAGATATAGCATATTATGCGGTTGCTTTCTGAAAGAAATATGTATTCTGACTATCAATTAATTAATCTTAGATTATATTTCTGTAATTGAACAATCATTTTTAATTATCATTGTGTATTCAGTAGTTAAGGGAGAAATTTATTCATCCCAGCAGGTGAAGTGTTTTGTAAAAGTTGCTCAAAAATTGATTAAAAAGAGGTACAGTAGAAAGAGGAACTGTGTAACTGGACAGCTACTGCAATGAAGAAGCTCATGCTGTTAGTCTTTGGCTGAACCCCTGGCTAGCCAGAACATTGTTTAGAGGGTATGGGATATTTTACTGGACTTTCAGAAGAGTTTTGACATTGTCCTGCTCACTATTATTGCACATCGATTGTCCACGGCCACATCCAGGGCCGAAGCGGACTTCTGAATAAGTTTACTGAGTCTATGGTGCTGTCTATTGTTAGGCTTGGCTTTAGCTGAGAGCAGCTCAGAACATGCTGTCCATTCTACAAGGTGCCTGTATTGTGTCAAAATGAATTAAGTGAGTGCTCAAAAGTTTTTCCACAGCCTACTTTGGTTTGTTGTTTGTTCTGGGGCCTTTCTCAGATGGAGAGCTGCGGTAAAATAAAACATCCAACGTGGAGAAAATGGCAAATACCTTTGACAAGGTCTGTTTTGTGTAGAAGGGCACCAGTGGCAACAGGATGAACAAGTGTGCATATACTAATAAGTTTTCATTTTATTTCGAGATAGTAAAGTTTCAGAAATCAGTCCTGGCTCTGGAGAGTTACACAGTACTTGTGGTGGTAGTGCTGTTTAGCGATTGACTGTATGATTGGTGGGAGCAAATGTCAAAAGTTTCAAAATATTCAACAGCTGGTCCAACTGTAAGATCAATAAACAAACTGATGCAATTTAATTTTCAGGCTAAATCCATTATCCTTCATAACATAACAGTTAACGTGTTTGATAGCAGCCATTGTCCTTTTACTTATTTCAATATCATCATATTAACTCTGTTTTTTCTCTTTTTTTAATCACCAGCCACATAGTTCTGATGCTGGCTGATGACATGGCTTGTAACCACAGAAATCCCAAACCTGCTACAGTGTTCAGTCACAAAAACATGGAGCTGAATGTGTATGGTGACGATGTGGAAGTGGACTATCGAGGTTATGAGGTCAGTTCAGGTGTTTACACCTCACCTTCATTCTGTGAAGCAACACTTATGTTAGCCTTATGTTTATCAACAAGCCCTGAGTGATTTTTAAAGTCTAAATGCAAAAATTGGGTATTTTGAAGCCAGAAAAAGATGAATCGCTTGAGCATAATCACAAATGTTCATGACTGTTTGGCATAAATTGTAAATATTTTCCTACCCCAGACAGTTTGATTCTGCTCAGCTTGTTATATAAACATTTACTGTGATTTATGTGACAGTCTCACATGCTGTGTTTCACCTTCAGTGTTGCGTTAAATAACTTGAGGAGAAATGGATTATGTCCAAGGCAACATTTTTATTGACCAGGACATTTTATAATCTACACGTCTAAAATGGGGCCCAGCCGGTTTTTATTTATTTTTCTGATTATTATGGACTAAGGCGAGTTCGTTGTTTTTTGACGACTCACTCTGTTTTGTGCCTTTTTAAAAATACAATGACACTGTACTGCCAGTCTTTGTTTGCTGTCACACTACATTCATGTGCAACAAAAACCAATAATCATTAAAAACAGAGGAAAAAAAACTCAGATAGGAGCTGATTATCAAATTTTAATTAAAGGATAAGTGGAGAAGATCAAAAATGTGGTCACTTACTGATCCTACCAATGACAATTTAAATATTACGAATTGACTTTTCATCACTAACTTTTCTTTTTACTGGCTTTTGTTTTGTATAGTTTCAATCTTTGAATAGTTTTATTTAACAACTAATTTACTACTTCCTGTCAGAGACATAGATGAAAAATGACCACAGGTTTGTACCATGTGTGCCTTAGGTAACTGTGGAGAACTTCCTGCGAGTTTTGACTGGGCGCCTGCCTCCCAGCACACCACGCTCTAAACGCCTCCTTTCTGATGATCGAAGCAACATCCTCATATACCTGACAGGTACTTAAAGAGAAAAAATGTACCTATGAAGCTGAAGTAATTAAAGTTGAATTAATTATTTTTAATCTGTGGTTGATTAACAGGCCACGGTGGGAATGGCTTTCTGAAGTTCCAGGACTCTGAGGAGATTAGTAATGTGGAACTGGCAGATGCTTTTGAGCAGATGTGGCAGAAAAGAAGGTAAATAAACTGAAAAGTGACTTCAAATAATCCCGTTTGTCAGGTCTACTTTACTTGTTTTTTCTTTGCCCTGCAGGGCATTTAGCTGTGCAGCATGCCAACAAGCATTTAACAGCACAAAACATCACAGCCTATGAGTATTATAACTTTATCAGGAGGTTCCCATTCTGTTGATTCTTTATAACAAGCAAAACAGATGATTATCAGAGGTGTGTTACGTTAAATTGATTCTCTTATCAAGGCTTTGTGTGTATCAAATGACTTCAGTGGTTGAAAGAGTGCTGTCAGTGCAGTGAAACTGTATACTCTCTATTTAGGCTTTTTTAAAAATAGCTTCAGCTCAGCTTGAAAGGTAGTGCTGGGCTTTCAATTGTCATTGGGAACATCAACGTGTAGCCTTGATAGTTCTTTTTTTCCTGCCTGTAAATTCTAGATTAAGTTTTATATGCAGTAGGGATACAGTAGTTAAATGAGGAGCTAAATGTGTGAATCTAAAGGGCTAACTTGAAGGCCATGAAACCATATGTGTATTTAAAAAATCTTTAAATTTCATTGTTTAAGTATTTTTCTTGCCTATTGTACATTCGTGATGGAAGCAAAAACTTGCAGGAAAATATTCACAGATAATAATTTTTAACTGGTTGAACCATCTATCCATGAGTTTTAACATTTATTTGGGCCATATTTAGTGAGTAATTAATAAATCAATAGGAATTGTTATCAATCGGTCTGAAACTGACAATTTTTTATGTATAGCTGAAGCTGTTGGATGTCTAGTTTTGTTAGTAAAATAAACAACGACAAATCTAGGAACAATGATTCGCTAATGCGTGTGTGGCAGACACAAGGTTTCTAGGCCATATCTGGTCCTTTGCAAAGTTTAATCCGGCTAGCGTATCACTTCAGATCCATCCCCCTTCGTTGTGTCTGTATGCCACACTAAACAGACGGGCACACTGCAGCTGCAAAATAACAAGCTAGCTCACAGAAAATGGCACAGAATATAAAAGCTGACTCTGAAGGCATAAAGAGTGACCTGTGTATATTTGCATTGAGATGACTGCTGTTTTCAAAGAATGAAATTTGCTTTGCCTTGAATCTGCACATCAGCACAGAAACGGAGCCAAGGACGGTGAAAATGACTAAAGCATACTGTACAGTACGCTTTACTGTAGCTGGGTTTCTTCCAGCTAAATCTAGAGGTTTTACTTTTAACTTTGTGAAATTTCACATTTCAACCATTGGGTAAGATTTGTAGAAATATATGGAAAAATAAAATTACAGATTCAGTATTTTGATATATGTTTTAATGTTAAATGCTCCAAACCACTGTAATGAGAGTGCATTATAAACATTGCACTATTTGGCCTGGGCTTCACTTAAGCCAACTTGTACATGTGAAGACTATATTGGACTTGCATTTTCAGTTTAGTTAAAGAATTTCAGTAAACTTGATCTCACCCTTAATGTTGTTCTCATTTCCCAGCGTGATGTTAAATTGAATTTGACACCCCTTAGCGAATGAATTAACTAAGGAATCATTTCAGGTGGAAATTTTATGAGTACAACTGGAGTAGAAAAAGAAACAAACTAATTGTTGAACTTAGTAAATAGATCGTATTGTCCCTTGTGGCCTTCATTATCTATTTTAATTTTATACTTTAGACCATGTGATCGTGTTCTATGTGGGATAAGCTAGGGATTACAAAGTGTTAGCACAGCATTCTCTGTATTAGTACTCTTGAAATTACCTTGAACTTGTCATGTTTTCCTAAATTCTTCTAAAAGTAGAGGCTGTTTTGTTCTGTAATTGGGGTTACTATTTAAGCCACTGCTTTGCTTAATTTGTAAATCACGAGATGGTAAATGAGCTTTCACCTTGCTGCTGCGAGTGCCTCTATTGTTGTCCAAACCCATTATCATCCACGGTGAGTGTCTGGGTTACAGTCAGGCTCCAGGCTACTGGATAAAAGCTCAGTGACGCCAGCTTTCATGCTGATGTGATAATTGCAGGGTTGAACTGCTAAATTACAGCCACCGAAGAGACCTCCCTTTATCATCCCCAAACCACCTCGATTAAGTCTACTGGATGTGACAGTCTCTACATGTTTGTCTAAACAGGGGAAAGAAGTTGTAGTGAAATGTAGAGTTTTGTAGGAAAGGAGGATGGAGGGAATGGAAAGGAAGGGGGTGGTGGTTAAGCTGTGTGCGTGGGAGTGTTAGCAGAACTGAATGGAGCTGTTGGTTTTTCTTGGTCACCATGGTAACTGCAATATGAAAGATGGTTAGAAGGTTTGTGTGATATCTGTTTATTGGAACAAATGGATGAGTGTTATGCCAGCTGTGCATTCTCCCATCAGTTTTGTTTGAGAATGTGTATGATCCTCTGTTTGTTTGTGTGTGTGCGTGTGTTTGTCTCCAGGTACAACGAGCTGCTCTTCATCATTGACACCTGTCAAGGCGCCTCCATGTATGAAAGATTTTACTCTCCAAACATCATGGCTTTGGCCAGCAGTCAAGTTGGAGAAGACTCCCTGTCGGTGAGTTATCTTCCCTCACGTGGAAGATGAATTAAAAATCATCCATCAGCTTGTCAGATTCTCTAATAAGCAGTGTGATTTCATAGCACATTGCACTAGCTTGATTTCTGTGTTCATACGCTCTCACCCCCCTGCAACACCAGTCAGTGTTACTTGAAATAGTGTTGCACTTTTGAATTTTTATTCAAATGTCTTCTCTCTTTTAGCATTCAAACTAAGAAAGGTCTGCAAGAAATGTGACATGTTACAAGTTCTTCATCACACTAATAATTATCAGAAACCTACTAGCTCTGCACTGCACTCAAATACAAGAACAATGCTGCTTCTTTTTCCCCCTCTTCTTCCACATTTTACACAACACTGACCTTTTGCTTGAGACGTATAGCTTAAAGTGCAAATCCCTCCACTGCATAATTTAGTTAGAAAAATCCTGAAAAGTCTTCAAGAGGCAGTGAGGGCAGGAGCTGAGGGGGGGAAACTTGCTCACTCTTTCTCTGCTTTGCACTGTTGATGGACCAATCTAAAACTGTGCTCAGTTGTGCGGTGTGTGTGTGTGTGTGTGTGTGTGTGTGTGTGTGTGTGTGTGTGTGTGTGTGTGTGTGTG